TAAGAACTCCACTTTCTGTCGAAGCTGGTATCCCATTGCATAATCCTCATGCTTTAGAAAAACCTTCTAGAAATGTACAGCCCACTTCTCATACATATCCGTCTTACGCATCTCGTTCTCAAGCCCCTGTTCGAACAACAGAGGAAATTCGAAATGACGTTTTGGGAGTCTTTGACTCATTGCCGAGATCTGAGAGTTTGCCAGAGTTAGAACCAAGCCCTTTAATTACTACAGAATTACTCAAGCATCAGAAACAAGGTCTTTACTTCATGACGAATAGAGAAAAGGAACGAAATTATGAGACGAAGGACAAGTGCGATTTGTGGAAGCTTAGCCACGGAAATAATGGTCAGAAGATATACTACAATGTCATCACTGGTGATCAGGAACGCAAAAGTCCACCGCAAGTTCTTGGTGGTATTCTTGCCGATATGATGGGACTGGGGAAGACTCTCAGTATTCTTTCCTTGGTAGTTACGACTCTCGATGATTCCAAAGAATGGGCGAAGCAAAGCCCATCACATTCCGATCGAAGAGAGCAGCCTATCGCTAAATCAGGTAAGGCTGCCTCCCAACCCAAGGTCGAACCCGCAGCTCTCGCTTTGAATTGCAAAACTACTCTTCTAGTTGCTCCATTAAGTGTTATATCAAATTGGGAAGATCAGATCAAAGCACATGTCAAACCTGGTGCCTTAATATATTACATCTATCATGGCGCCAATCGCATCAAGGACGTCAAGAAATTAGCAGAGTATGATGTGGTTATCACTACCTATGGTTCCGTAGCGAGTGAGTTCAACAACAGGAACAAGAAGAAAGATGGTAAATACCCTCTTGAGGAGATGAATTGGTTCCGAATTGTGCTTGATGAAGCTCATATGATTCGAGAACAATCGACTCTGCAGTTCAAGGCCATTTGTAGGCTTTCGGCACAACGTAGATGGGCATGCACTGGTACGCCGGTCCAGAATCGACTAGAGGACTTGGGTGCCCTAATGAATTTCCTTCGCGTCAAACCTTTTGATGGAAGTGGGTTCGCCCAACATATTCTATCTCCTTTCAAAATTTGCGATCCTGAAATCATTCCCAAACTTCGGTTACTGGTTGACAGCATTACTCTTCGTCGACTCAAAGATAAAATTGATCTTCCAAAGCGTCATGATCATATTGTTAGGCTTAACTTCAGTGATGAAGAGCGTATGGTCTATGATATCTTTGAAAAGAATGCAACAGATAGGCTTAAAGTCATCACTAGTCAGGGAGAGAGTGCTTTGGGTGGCAAAACCTTTCACCATATTCTTCAATCAATATTGCGTCTTCGTCAAGTCTGTGCTCATGGCAAGGATTTATTGAGCGCTGAGGACCTAAAGATAATGAACGGTTTGAGCAAGGATTCTGCTATCGATCTCGATAGTGAAGAATATGAAGATCATGATGGAATGACACCCAAGCAAGCATATGATATGTACAAATTAATGAAGGAAACGGGTGCCGATAGTTGCTTGACCTGTAATCGAAAAATTGGTCCTCAAGATGTTGTTGATTCTGATGGCGAATCTAAAGATGAGGTTATTGGTTACATGACACCTTGTTTCCACATAATTTGTGGTTTATGCATTGGTGCCTACAAATCTCAATTGGAAGAAATGGCTTTTGGTGGTTCTTTTGTTGCATGTCCTACATGTCATCAACAAATCTCTCCATCTGTGTTTTCTCTCAAGCAAGAAGAAGTAGACAAGGAAGAGGAATCACGATTGAAGTCCAAAGAATCAGCAAAAGCAGGCAAGGATTTATCAAATTATGGTGGACCTCATACTAAAACAATAGCTTTGATTCATGATCTTCTGGGATCCCGAAAGGAATCGGAGTTAAATCCAAACCAGCCACCGATTAAAAGTGTTGTCTTTTCCGGTTGGACAAGTCATCTTGACCTGATTCAATTCGCTTTACAAGAGAACAATATTCCTTACACTCGTCTCGATGGTAAAATGACTCGTATCGCTCGCTCAAACGCTATGGAGAATTTTCGCGAGGATCCAACGATCGTTGTTATCCTAGTATCCATCTCTGCTGGTGGTCTCGGTCTCAATCTCACCACCGCCAATAAGGTTTATGTCATGGAACCTCAATTCAACCCAGCAGCGGAAGCCCAAGCTATTGATCGTGTACATAGATTGGGACAAAGGAGAGAAGTGCAAACGGTGCGGTTCATTATGAATAACAGCTTCGAGGAAAAGATGTTGAAAATTCAAGATAAGAAACAAAAGTTGGCGAGCTTGAGTATGGACTCTCAAAAAGGGAGGTTGGATAAGAAGGAGGCATCGATTAGGAAGTTGGAAGAGTTAAAGGATTTGTTTAGGAAGTAAGTTGCAGTAGGATTGATGGTATTTTCAGGATGGTTATGAGTTTATGGTGTTATTACCTTTGGGGGGCGCGTCGGATGTTTAAAATTTATGTACGAGGGGGAGTAAACGGTACATTGCTTCCTAGCGGGTGGAGTTTGGGATCATGCCACAGGCATGCATCATTTATTTGATCTATGGATCAGACATTAGATTCTCATTTCAAAGTTTCTTGCAACTTGATATCATTGCCATCTACATTTCTTTGATAGAAAGGCGTTGGGCAGCGGGCAGGTTTCACGGGAAATCAATGCATCTCATCTGGTTTGTTTTTGGCTCGAGGGGGTTTTTTTTGTCTACTTTTCTTCACTTTTAGAATATACTTAGAGGATTTTATGTAGAAGGAAGGGGGTCTGGCGAAGGTTGTGCTACAATGTACTTTATTTAGTACGTATGCATAGGTATGGAAAAGGGATGTTTGGGGTAAAGGTTGAGGAGTTCATTTTTGAGATATTATGTTGTATAGATAGATAAATAAATAAATAATGTTGTTTTGTTTGTTTGGTTGGATACTTGGGGTTTGCGATGAATGATGAGGGATGAGCGATGAATGTGATGTAGGTTATATATGAGGTAGGTTGTAAATGAGATAGGTGGGGTGAATAAGACTGTATAAACACTAGATGCCCTCATGCCCTCATGTACTCTGGTTACTGTATAGCTAATTAGTTTACGCTAATGAGGCAAAAACAGCAGGCAGTTCGTAAATCCTAATGGTCTTTAAGAATATCAAGGAATTACGATTGATTGATCTATCTATATATCTATCTATCTATCTATCTATCTATCTATCTATCTATCTATCTATCTATCTATCTATCTATCTATCTATCTATCTATCTATCTATCTATCTATCTATAGTAAATACGAAATAAACAAATCTCACGGTTTTGGTATTTACACTGCAATTCTTGAGGGTTTTTCTATGGGGTTTCAGAATAATCTGATTGTCTGATGCCAATTCAGATATTGATCATGAGTTTGTAAGATGTTAGTTTGTCTTATTACTTATTACTTCCGGCGAAATATTTTGGGAACAAGGTTGGCAACCACCACCAGTACCATCTTCCTTGAGGATATAGGTGTTATGTTCGACTGATGTTGTAGAGCAGAAGTTGTAGGATATAATTGTGATTGGTGATTGGTGGGGAGAAAGGGAAAGGAGGGAGGGGTAGATGGATTAATATAATGTTGTCTTGAAATGTATGTATATGATGAGATTAGGATTAAGTTTATAGGGGTTGGGATTTAGTTTGTTCAAATCCAATTGTTGGACTTTAGGGACTTGGTTGGTTGGTTTGGATTATGGGTTATGGGTTATGAGTTAGATATCTTGCTCTGGGTATTGGGATTGGGATGTTGGTTAGTTATGCTGTGTTGTGAGGGTTGTGAGGGTTGTGAGAATTGTACACTAAGTAGTTTGTTGTAATGTGCTATTTGAGATATTTGAGATATCACCTTCAATATCTTATTCCCCCGCATATACTTTGAACGGTTGAATTTTCCATCCAGTTACTCAATCTACTCGAGTATGGGTAACTTTTCTTTCACCCTACCGACTGTATTTCATTCAAGCTCGTCTAGTCTATTCAATAATACAATGAGCATCCCAAAACTCGATTTTTCGAAACGACGTCGCAGTTTCCACGTTCCACATGTCTTTTAATACTGTTTCCAGGTATATTACTTTCCATCTCACCACATTACCTCGCCAGTACACCCGCAATCATCCTCTTGAGATCATGCATTGAAAATAAGACCTACATTCCTGATATGTCATGTCATGATGTTTCGTAATCTGGGTTTGATAATATAATGCGAGATTTAATTTCTTTGTTTTTTTTATTGAAATGAACATGAAGCGGGAAAGGAAAGGAGGATTGTTGTGGGTGATTTGAGGATTGTGGATTTTGGATTATGGTATGGATTATGGAGATGTATGAGTGTCTGTTTATTTAGAGAGTAGTGTTGAGTAGACAATCATTGGTAAGAGCCAAATATTTTAGCCAATAGGTGGTATACTGATATCACTTGAAGTCACTTCATATCACTTGAAATTGTCTGGATTGAGAAAGAAAATCTATTGTTTGTAGTAGATATGAAGTTTTGCCTCACCCCATCAATCATTACCCCACGAAGCCGAATATTAACCGAGAAAAATATCGGAATAGCTCGTTCACCCACCTAATTTTCCCAAAACCCATTAAAGAAAAATTCTTTTCCGTATTTGATTCTACCAGCGACTTGAATGAATAGTTTTGAAGCCATTACCGTATTCTTCTGAGCTGAGAGAGCACAGTATCGAAATAATCTATCCATCATCGAATAAACTGAAATATAAAACAAAACCTCCCGCTAAATATTATCCCAGACCACCCCTCCCAATCCTCCCATAAATCCACACAAATCAACCCTCCATTCTATCATCTCTAGATTCACTTATATCGAATCTCCATGTACTATTTACACATACCTTATAAAATAGTCACAAATAGCACTTAAATAGTCGTAGTAGTTCTCAACACACAAGCGCAGCATGCCCATGTCATCTATCCTCATATTGAGACATAAAGGGCTGACTGATATCAAATAACAACGGTGAGATGGCCGAGTTGGTCTAAGGCGCCAGGTTAAGGTTTAGCTTAACATGTGATTGTATGCGAACAATCTCCTGGTCTGGAAACAGGCGTGGGTTCGAATCCCACTCTCATCAATGTTCTCTTTTTGATTTTATTTTTTTTATTTTTTCGAGCGGTTTGTTGGAGAGATTTGGGACATTGGGAATTCATGTTTTTGTGTAGAGAATGAACGAGGAAGAAATTTCTCCACTTGGTTCTTGGTTGGTTCTTTGTGCTTACGGGAATACGAGTAGTGAATGGAGTACGAGTAATGGATTGGTGGAACTTAGTAGCCGGCTTTTGGTGGGTGAGAATCACAAATTTTCAGTGCGTTATATTCGAGGGTTTTTGAGTGTTACATAAGAGAGAAAGATATGTAGGAGAAAGATCTTTAACTCGGATTTATTATTCTTTTCCTTTGATGAGTTTATTTTGAGAATTCGTTTTGATTTTCAATGGGATGTTTGGGTTTTCGTGATGTTGGTGAGGAGGGGCTAAAGATATCGGTATTACGGGAAGCGAAGGGGTCCTTTGGTGAGCTTTTTGGAATAGATTTCGAATGTATTTGTTTAATTCGTCTTGGTTAAATTTTAAATGTTCAATGTTCTTTTGATCTTGGGGAGCTCGCTAGTTAATATGATTTTGCGGAATCTTAAGAACTTTCTACTCATGAATCAATATATATTAAACTTCACCCCCCCGCGTACGGTCGCTGCTCTTGATACACTGATAATGCTCTTGAACCTTCAAATTTAATATATGTAAGTAGGAGATTGTGAGCAAGGCTTGAAAGGTATTTGATTCACACATTCACGCTAAATCAATATATCTCGTTTGCAGTATATTTGAGTTTATCCTCGACTAGAATAGATTCATATTATACATACACTTCCTCATTACTAATATCTTAATAGGTATATATAAAATCGCAACGCCGCAAGTACAATAGGTGGTATCATAAAGAAGTATCCTGACCCTTTTCCCCCCTTGTAAAGAACTTTGAGAACCGTCCAAATCAACCAGACCAAACAAACCAAACCAAACCAAACAAACCTTACCACAGACCAGCCATACCACCGACCAACCATACCGCCAGATCCCAACCTCCGTCCTTGCCATCCATATATTTATACAATACACCCAAGATATTAAAAAGCAACTCCAACACTATCTCTTCCATACCCATAAGCCATACTCCACCTCTCCTCCTCGCTCCTTTCACTTCCCCCAAATGTCCTCGCTCCATCTCTACTAGGCGGCGCAACTTGCAACCTCTTACTATCCACACTAATTCTCACTTCATACCCCAATTCATTAACATTCCTATCTCCATGTCCATGTCCAAGACTTGGACTCTCGCTCCAACTCGTCGCTTCATAGTCTTCATTACCATCATTTTCACTTGCCATGCTACTCACACTGCTCACACTAAGCGGGTTGTCGACTTCCTTTACTTCGATACATTGGTAGAAACCTTGTCTAAATGTTACGGGTTTGGGGGTGTTGGTAACTGAATCGAGAGACATGTGGCGAGAGTGATGTTGTTCGGAGCCGGATGGGAATAACCAGGAGGAGACGCGCGAAAGAGATTTGCTTCGGGCAGCAACTTGAGGAGTTTGGAGAACTAGGGGAAGAGGAGGAGGTAATGGGCGTTCTTTAAGGAGTTTGGGGGCGCGGAGAGAAGAATCTACGGATTTTAGACGGCGGGGTCGTGAGGGAGCTGTTTGGGGGCGACGATTGGCGTTATGAGGTGGAAGATCGGTGATAGCGGGCATGGGTTCTTTGGCTTCGTTAGATGTGTTGTATTTAGGATATGACAACGTAACTAAAAGCTTACCTGTAAATTCTGAGTATATACTCTCACGTCGTTCTTGTCGACTTTCAGCCCGGCTTGCACGACTTGTTGGTCGACTGGCTAGATAAATACTTCTTCTCTCGATAGCTTCATCAAGTTCTTTTAGTCGTTTGTCCAATTCCATATTTTCCAATAATGCAGACTTAACTCTTTCATACGCAGGTGGTTCCGTGTTAGCTCTTAATCGTGTAGGGCGCTCCTGAGGTAAATCATTCGCTAACGCATCCAACGACTCCTCAGCGTTCATTGACCTCCTTTCCACAACGGTGGACAGAACTGGTTTCCTAGGCACCCTAAATTCCAACGCCGACTCGCTCCTCGTATGAAGTAAAGTACGATCATTTTTCTCATCATATGTATGAGGTCCAAATTCCGGTAAGGGTGATAATCGATTTCCTGGTAAATATATGCTCAACTCCAACGGTCGCAATTTTGGCTCATTCCTAATGACGACTCGTTCGGGTTCCCTCACATAACTCGTTTCCGTATGATGTTGGAAGTTATATGGAGCACTAATCACCATTCGACTTGAAGCGCGAGATGATAAATTTCTTCTCAAACTAAAGCTTTCACGACTCGATGTCCTTGATCGACTAGTAGTCCATTCTTTCCCTCTAGTTTGTGGTATCTCCAAAGCAGATGCTGTCTGTGGTCTTTCTAATGGTTGTGGCAATGGTGGAGATATTAATTGAGGTTGTCCATTTACTATGCGCATTGATTTTTCTGGTTCTTGATATTTTGTTAGAACTATTCATAACTGCAGATTTCCCATTTGCTTGCTTACCACAACTCCCCACATCTTCCCCCGCCGCACAACAATTGATAGAAGAGGTTAACCAAGCCATTTGCGCATCATTGAGAAACCTGCTCAAGGACTGCATGACCACGACTTCATACCGAACACAATTTCCAGTTGAATGCGAAATTTAAGACAAAATACAAAAGAAAACGAGAGTAAGAATATTTTGAAAATTTCAACCAACTAAAAGTAAAAGCTAAAAGAGCATCATTACCAAAGTAAAGATGAGCTCTGAAAGATGTGACAACTCAATCGTGATGATTGGCTATCTAGACATAAATGGGAACGTCGTACAAGATAGTAAGAGATCGAGACGCCCAAAAAAGCCCATGAGAAAATTGAAACCATAAGGCATATACTCGGTTGAGTTTCTTCGCAGCGGGTAAATATTGCTTTGTAGGGCTTCATGATGGGTTGTAGATGACCCATGATTAACCCACATTATCTAACATTATCCATGATTACCCCATGGCTTGCAGGTTCATGCTCGCACTTTGCTTACACTTGCTTGCAATTACTCACATTTATTTTTGTTGGTGCATGGTGATAGGTTGTGATGAGATGGAGGTAGGAGGGGCGGGAGGGGGATAGACCGCTAAATTGGCCAAGTGGGCGGTAAATTTATTGAAAGGATTGCCCTGATAGGAATGGTCTCGTTAACTTCTCTCTCATTTTTGTATAATTCTAGCTAGGTAGCCAAAGGAATGGAAGGATCAAGAAATGGATGGCTGTGTATATAATCCAAGTAATACATACCATGGAGGACAAAGTTTGAGATTGTAAGTTGTAAGTTGTGCTAATGCAATGCAAGAAAGAATGGAAGCTATATTAAAAGAGATCTACGAATTATATGTATGTTTCCGGGTTTAAAATGGAAAGATTGTGTCGTTCGTTCATGAATGTTCCTGTGATGAAGAAAATCCGTACCGTGCGTTTGAAGTAAAAAGTGGATATCTAGAATACCGAAGACCCGGCGAAGGATGATCCGGCACAGTAATTAAGCTAGATGTGATGAGATTTCCATGAGATGTGATATATATATTTTTAGCTTTTATCAATTTGAAATTAGAACGTTGGGATTTTGACGACTGACGCAAAGTTTGTCGAAATATGGTGTTGATCATCAGGTACGTAAAGACAGTACTACAATGATGTAACACCAACACTTCATAGCATGCATCACTATCATCTAACAGGAAATATAAGATGTGAAGGAATGAGAAGGATTTTAAATATGAGTACTTAGGTAGTATGCCATATATGATATTGTTTCTGAGTCCTACACGGGATGATTGTGTATCGCATATCGTGTATCATGAAATATAATTGTATATTGATCCCATTTGTTCGACTTAAAATGAAACAGAAAGTTGCCATTGGATCTTTCGCTATCTTTACTATCTTCGAGGAGGCACAGCAAAGAAACTCCTCGGGAACCATGAGAAGAAATAGCCAATGAATGGAATTCTCTCAGCTGTGGTGAATGTGTACCGGTATGTGCATGTGGAGAGGAGGATGTGTGGGATAGGCGAGGTAAGCCATGGAGGAATCATTCATTGTTTTAGATGATTTCCATATTCTTCATTCTTCAAATGTTGACCAAGAGCTATTTCTCATGCACCGACAATCTCATTCGGAAAATATCGTGATTTCTGATGGAGAGGGACAAACAAGTTTGAATATCGGGTCCGTCGAGCTTAGAAGTACATAGCATAACAGGCATTTCTATCATCCCATCTCATGTCATCTGCCAGCATAACTGTACCGTAAGATGCCCAAGAATCGAGGCGACCGTGTTTGGGAAAGCCTGCTCAGGTGGGAATCACCTTCTAGAACGCCATGGATCCTGACTGTTTAACACACACTACAGTAATGCCTAATCTATACTCAGGATTGGATACGGGAAGGGAGGGGAGTTCCCCAGAAACTCGACCACATCAGCTCAGATCTTAATATTCGGGAATTTTGTCTTTTCGGAAGAATTTATTTGACGGGCCTCAGAATCTACCGACATTTTCAATCAAGAGAGTTTCACTTGTTGAAGTAGATTTGAGAGGTTTTTCACGGCGTTTCGCAGTGATTGTAGTCATCTTTGTGCATTGTCCAGTGGGCCTCTGGATATTTTCCGAACAAATAGATCATGCTGAGAATGATTCTGGGGCTGACGCAGTAATAGAGCGAATTTCTTACTCCAGGTGGTCTGATTCAACATAACATTCCTCGTATAAGCTACCAACAAATTGTTATTAATGGCAAGGTGGTATGTTTTGAGGGGTATGTAAGTTATGGAGGCGCAATTTAATGCTTGAACGATGTTGACGAAGGAGCTTTGAGAAAGCAACTACTACGTAGATAACTAGCCACCGTTTAGATACCTTTATTTGTCGATGGGTAAGTAAAACATAAAACAAAAATAAAAACACCATTATAGAAGAAAGAAT